AAGCAGTGGTATCAACGCAGAGTACTCACCGATTTGCAAGCAAGGACATAGAATACTAGATATGAGTGATTAGGCTCGGATAAGCATACGATGCTGCACGTCTGTACACTAATTCATGCTTCTTTCAATTCAGAATCACAAAAAGATAATCACTACGGAAATTCCCAGAAAATTACATTTCATGTCTTCAAAATCTCCTGTAAACCTATTCGATTGCCAGGAATTGCATGTTGAAGCTCTTATCACACGGCAAGGGAGAACGTGCGTTCGTAACTGCTATCAAACCAACAATGGAATAGCAAGTATTAAATGGATGCGTACGATACACTACCCTAGAACATGACTGACTCGTACACCACGTTAGTGCAAAAAAATGTGAAAGCCTCACTAAGAGATGGGAAAAGTAATTTAATGCTTGCTAAACTAAACGGTTGGAAACTGCAGTTGTTCAGATCAGGATTACTACGCTATCCCTTGTACAATTTTCAAAACCGCTGTCATTGAATACTTTTTGTTACCGAAATCTCAAAAGGTGTAGAGGCAACTACGTACATTTTCAAAGTAGACCACTTCCAGAAATTTTTCAACCCATTTCCAGGAAGAGGAGCGCTCCATCCACCACCAATTTCTTTTTTGATTTTCCGGCAAACCCCGAGAGAACTGCTGTCTAAGAAATTAAGCGTCTGAGAGAGTGTTTTGCCTCAATCGAGTTTTTCGATTTCGTGCTTTGGCTTTGCCCGATTTAGGTGATACAGTTAAGAGAATAGTAATAGAATGATTCTTGAAGTCTTAAACGTCTATAAGAACCTGGATTTTTGCACATTTCGCTTAAAATATAAGATGGGAGATAAACATGTCGATTTCTGAGTATACCATACGCTTTCATTGACTTCCAAGATTCGAAATTTTAGCGAGAATAACAGGACAGACAAGGATGAAAAGGGAGATACCCCAAAGATGGAAAGGGAAATACCATCATTCCCACAATGAACGAGCAAACTGGAGCATGCTAGCTGGTTGGATCTGATAGGAGATCCAGAATGGGATCAAACACAATTGACTTATTTCAGCACAAGTAAGCGCAGCGAGTCGCCTAGTTTAATTGAAATGTATGAGTGGGCAGAATAACGGTGCAAAAGTTTTTTTGGATAAGTGAAGAGAGGGGAGGGGGAGATAGATTATCTCAGTTGTAGAGATGGTATTAGTTTAGCTACATACGTTTCTTTATTTTCTGCCCACGACTTCTGAACAGATGCCAAATGAAGGTAAAAAAAAGTACTAGCATTTTTTCAAAAAGTTCGGACTTTTTACATCCCCTCCTTCCCGCCGCTCCCATGAGACCGTCAGCTGGTGCATCATATCTCTTCAATTCTAAACAATCCATCTTTCTGACTACAAGTGATAAGAATACAGATAGTTTCTACTGAAAGAGAATCAAAAAGAGAAAGTGTTGAACTGAAGCAAAACAGAAGGAGAAAAAAGCAAAAAGTGATAGGATAAAGTCCATACCCACCTGTTTGCTTGGTTTTGAGGTGAGAACAATCCGGGCTTGCCGAAAGTTCACCTTACTACCCTGGGCACCCATTCTGAAACTCTCGCTTGAGATAACTCGTATCATGGAGGATTAACACTGCTTCGAAACCAGAAACGAGTGAATTAAGTTAAAATCGATAGAAAAAAGAAACTACAGCGTTGTCAACTCCAAAGAAAAAAACAACAACGACACATATCGAACTGCCGACGTTTGGCACAGCGATGTCATTTGCTTAAATGCTCTCATTGAGATTAATCACCCTAAGTGGTTCGCAGATAGAAAAATACAACCGCAGTATTGGCATACGACGATACGGAGGAGCGTGAGCGAGATCACTACGGAATCTTGGTGTCAAAGATCACAACTCATCAGCATACCGAAAGGGCTGAGAGTGGTTGGCACTTTTGATTACGAGGAAACTATGCGCATCTTTCTGGAAGCCACAAAGCGTAAGAGAGCCGTAGATCATGAAAATATTGCAAAGTGAAAGGCTTTATGTTTGAACTGCATTAAACTGGATTTGTAAAACCAAGAGAACAGAGAACTGGTGGTTGGTCCCTTCCCCCTTGTGGAATAGCACGACCGTGGAATAAGAGTTTATCGACAAAGACACAGAAAAAGATTACAAAATAGGATGCAACACCCGCACTGCCCGGCAACACGTCACGCGCAATGAAAAATACAAAACGATACGAACAATAAGAAAAGAAACGGGAAAAGGAGTATCATATCTTATTGCCGGTTCGATCATCTTCTTCCTCCAGCTTTGTACACCATCTCATCTTTACAGATTTTGTCCCTCGCAGCACCCCAACTGGTGTTTTCTCAGTGAAGTCAAATGCTTATATTTACGGCCACAAACACCACATTCGAAATGCTTCACGGCAGCATGCACATATGTATGCTTTCGCAATAAACACCTTCTGCAAGCAGTCAAATAATCGAACTCGAGAATTCAAAAAGTACTGAAGCACATACTTTCCAAATTTTTTAGAGCAGTATTGGCAGGCGTGCTTGAGCTCGGCATCTCTAGGTGGTGAATGTGCTTCTGAAGAACTCGGTAAGCAGTTCAATTCTAAACCAGTTTCATTGCTAGCTTCCGGTGTAGCACGAAGTTCGATATATTGTTTATGGTCATTTGCAAGAACTAAAACACTTTTATCGAAGTGGAAAAAACCTTAAGATCGGCTTACTTCGAACTTTTTCTTCGAAGTCATCCCTCTCCCATTGCAAAGCGTCAATCTCATGTTTCAGCTGACATTTCTGTGAACACAAATTATTGAAGGCATCAGGAAAGTAATTGCATACCTCGTCGTTCGCAATAGAAATCTTGAGACTAAGAGCGTCGTTCAGCTTATTTGCTGTTGCTAAATCCTCCCGAAGTCTAGAGTTTTCCAGATCTACACGCTCCAGCTCCATTTTCAGTGACGTTTCACTGAACATGACAAACTTGGACTCAGCTGCGTAGTACAAAAGAAAACTTACGATTTGCGTAATAGACGCTTTTCTTTTAACCACACTTTCGCCTGCTCTTTTTGTTTTATTGACAGGCTTTCAATCTGAGAGTTCTTTTGCGAAAGGCTTTGCGAAAGGCGGCTGTTATCGACTTCGAGGCGCAAAAGTTTTCGTTCCTCAGCCGTTTCTTCTTTTCCATCGAAATTCTAAAGCTAAAAACATCTAAGAACGCCAATTTGAAGAAAATCAAATGTATTTGTGCATCCGTCATTTCCAATCGAAATGAAGATGACATCGTGCAACGAACCTCCGTGCTCTCATCAAAATGTAGTGGTCTAAATGCTTCGAACCCACAATTTGCGCACTTTATTCGTAACATTGTTTGATCCTTTTTCTTCTGTGCTGCTGTGTCGAATCGTTTTTTTTGCGCCTAAAAATATGGTCTATTCATCGTGCATGGTGGGAGATCAAAGATCAGACGGAGAACATACACCACTTATGTTTAGCCTCCTTAACGGCGATAACAGCGTGTTTATCCGCTCCTCCAAAACTTTATTATATTTTTCATTTAGAGCATTTTTCGATGCCTCAGACATCTCTAAGCGCACTCGCATTGTATCTAGCTGCCGCAAAGCCTGAAAAAAAGCGAGAGCGAATATCGAGAGCACTTTCAAGAAACAAAAGAAACGCTAATCGCTGAAAAAAATATTGCATCGTTGAATTTTTGGGAGGCCGAATTCGAGACCACTAAAACTCACACTTGACAAGTCGATTTCAAGCTGTGCCTTTGATAACCCTTCGTAATCCTGTATACATTCAATCCTTTCAAGCAGTTTTTCCTTGAGATCGTTCCAGATCTTCTGAGGTGCAATATGTTAGATATATAGGCAACCAAAACCCCAAGCTATACTCACTGCTTCTTCACTGGCGGGGTCAGTGAGACGAGCAGCGAATGAATCGCGCTGCAATTGCGCTTCGATCAAAGCTCGTTCACGATCTATAGATGACTGCTTCCACTTTTCTAACTCTTCTTGAATCGCAGCCACCTTTTTCTCCATTTCTGAAGTATTATAATATATATATATCTTATATATAAAGCTGAATGTCTGTTTGTATGTCTGTCTGTATGTCTGTATGTCTGTCTGTGTGTACGTATGTTCCGAATAGAAATTTTTATTTCTGAACCGATCGGGACCAAACTTGGCACACATACACTTCGGGCCCCGGCGGGTGTCATAGGCTACTTTTCGTCATCGATCGATATCGATTTTATCGATATCGATCGATAACGAAAAATGGACTGTGACACCCGCCGGGGCCCGAAGTGTATGTGTGTCAAGTTTGGTCCGGATCGGTTCAGAAATGGAATTTTCTATTACGGCGGAGCCGGGTAAGCCAGTTAGTCTCATATATAAAGCTGAATGTCTGTCTGTCTGTCTGTATGTATGTCTGTGTGTACGTATGTTCCGAATAGAAATTTTTATTTCTGAACCGATCGGGACCAAACTTGGCACACATACACTTCGGGCCCCGGCGGGTGTCATAGGCTACTTTTCGTTATCGATCGATATCGATTTTATCAATTTTTTGCAGAATTTGAGCTACGGGGCTGGGAGTTGGCACAGGGGGTAATCGAGCATGCAGATCACCCCCACGGGGGCCCCGCCCCGATGTGTATGTGTGCAAAGTTTGGTCCCGATCGGTTCAGAAATAATAATTTCTATTTGGAACATACGTACCCGGGCGGAGCCGGGTAAGCCATCCAGTATATATATATATATATATTAGGCTGTCCCAAAAGTCTTGTCGTTTCATTTTCAAAAAAATGTAACTTTTTGCTGTTTCAACGGACTTGCTTCTTCTGAAATTGAGAAAAACGCAATTTTTTCCGCAAATTTCGCATGCTTCGCCAAGAAAAGACAACTGTTAAAAAGAGGAGAAAGAGCTGCATCGAATGGTGACTAAACTGCTCGACATTCTTTGTTCTATGAGGTTAAAATAGGCTGAATGTAAAATTTGGTCACCTCAAAAAATAAATTATAGAAATTCTGGAAGACAAGCCGTAGGGCTACAAAAAATTGCTTCTGTTGGCAAAAGGTTTGCCCAGGGGCGGTAATTATCAATCTCCCACTAGCTGTGCGGGCCATTGTTAACGAGAGCCCGCACAGGCGAGAGCGCCCTTCCCGCGATATATGAATGGGCGGCGCCGCCCCACTCGTCGAGATGGGGAACTGCTGCCCGACTGCCGTGCCCAACATGGCCAAACTTGCCAGATCGGACCATATTTTGCAATAGACAGGAGCCCGGTCACCAGCTTGGCTTCATATATCGCGGGCGCCAGTGCCCGCGCCTGTACGGGCAGTTACCTGTAGGGGAACCCCTTCCTATACAGAAGATTGATAAATACCGCCCCCGTATGCTGGTTATTAGGGCCCCTCCGAAAGTCTCATACAAAAACTTTCAAAATTAGTAAAATTTGGACACGGTAAAAACGAATGGTTGCAATTTCCAGCGAATATCTCATTACTCTACCAACGAAACACAATGGGAGTTCAGCAGCTGGAAAGAGGAAGAGATTCTGCATCGGATGCATTTTGCACATTCGTTTATCTCCATTTTAGCGTGTTTGCCGATGGATTGAAAAAAGTGACAAAACTTTTGCACCCACCTAATATATATACATATATATATGTACATATAAATCTTATACATAAAGCTGAATGTCTGTTTGTCTGTATGTCTGTATGTCTGTCTGCATGATGTCTGTCTGTACGTATGTTCCGAATAGAAAATCCCATTTCTGAACCGATCCGGACCAAACTTGGCATACATACACTTCGGGCCCCGGCGGGTGTCATAGGTTACTTTTCGTATCGATCAATATCGATTTTATCGATTTTTATCGATTTCTTTGCTGAGTTCACTTACGGGGCTGGGATTTGGCATAGGGGGTAATCGAGCATGCTGATTACGAGTACAATATTAGTTTTTAAACTTATCCACTGCTTTTCGATTTTCCTGCAAAGTTTGAGCTACGGGGCTGGGAGTTAGCACAGGGGGTAATCGAGCATGCTGATTACGAACACAATATTAGTTTTAAAAATTATTCACTACTTTTATCGATTTTATCGATTTTTTGCAAAATTTGAGCTACGGGGCTGGGAGTTGGCACAGGGGGGTAATCAAGCATGTTGATTACGAATACAATATTAGTTTTTAAAATTATATACTACGAGCTGGCAAACCCGGCTCCGCTCGGTCCTGTCAATAATGTATTCGAATCACCATGTTCACTTACCCTGTACACCTGCACACCCTGCACGACCTGCATACCCTGCACATCATGATAATTATACGATGTGCAGGGTTGTAAATTGGTGTGGTTACGTGACTACGGGGAGTGTGCACAGACATACAAATTTTCTGCTTCATATATAGAGAGATTTATCGATTTTATCGACTTTTTTGCAAAGTTTGAGCTACGGGGCTGGGAGTTGGCACAGGGGGAGTAAGTGGGCATGCTGCGAAAACAACACAGGAAACGGGAAATGAAGTGTAGAAGAGGGCACAGGGAAAAGCTGTACAGGGATAGGGACGGGACCTTTATTACAGTGTTTGACAGGGCCAAGCGGAGCCGGGTAAGCCAGCTAGTTATATATATATATATATATCATAACTTATAATAATGGGCTAAGGATGTTTACGTGACTTTGTGTGTCTGTCTGTGTGAGAGTGTGTCTGTTACGAAATTCGTAGAGAGTGTTCCAGCCAACCTCCTGGGCTCAAATTTTGCACAGCGCATGCTACCCGCATGAAAGTCCAACATGCAAAAGCAGGAGCAGATTCGTTGAGTGGATCCCCCAGAAACTGCGGGTCAAACGGATCCACTTTGCATTTGGGGCCGCATAATTGGGTCCATAATTCCACTTTTCGCAAAGTAGTGGATGTTTATGCCAAGTAAAAGTGCAAACCATGAACTTAGACCCAAAAAGTGATCAAAAGTGTATTACTTCAGAGAAACGGCGCCAAAAAGTATTGGTTGCATAAATGGTCAATTTGCCAACGTTTTACCAGAGCATTTAACGAGATTTTTGCACAAAGACCTAGCACACGGTGACTGCCGTTCTTATTGCAACTGTCAAGTCCATGGGAAAATCAAAAACCTGTAAAAATTTGCGTTTGTTCTCCTGCAAAAAGTCTCATCCATGCGAAATTACCGATTTCACATAAAAAAGCTTTCGGAATGAGTAGTTGTTTACATTTTGTTCGTGATAGTCGGCATTGCTCGGTGAGTTCCAATGCCATCATTGTGCGAGAATGAGTAGGGCCTAGGTAGTGGAGCCAGTGCGAGCCTCTGCGAAGCAGAGGTGACGCACTGGTATATATATATATATACAGGGTGTCCCAAAATAATGTGCACACTGTTTGATTTTGAATAACTCTCTTATTATGAGGTCTTTCGAGAAGCGGTAAGCGCCATTTTGTAGAGCTGGCTTCAACTTAGATTTGCAGTATAGGATGAATCACCGACCGCCCTTCATTACTGTAGGATTACGGTAGAAACTTGGAACACATGGTGTCACTGTGGAAAAAGCTGCCGTTTTAAAAATTTTCAAAAAGATGTGAAAACTTGTGTAATAGGGTTTTTAGGGACGCTGACTTCAATACTCAACTATGCTCAAGATTGCGAAGCTTTCTAAACGGTGTAACCGCACTTTTTAGGAACATTGAGAAAATGGCCGCTACTGCTTACCTTGCATAACTCTCCAGTGAACATCAAAATAAGTTGGGAATCTTACTGTTAGAATCAGCAACTCTAATTGGCCTAGTGTAAAAGTTTTTAGGCTGTTCCGATTCCTTTCTGAGGCAAAATGTGGCCTTTCATGGCCCAAAACCCTCTTTCAAGTTTCTACCGTAATCCTACAGTAATGAAGAGCGGTCGGTGATTCGCTCTATACTGCAAATCTAAGTTGAAGCCAGCTCTACAAAATGGTTTTTACCGCTTCTCGAAAGACCTCGTAATTAGAGAGTTATTCAAAATCAAACAGTGTGCACATTATTTTGGGACACCCTGTATATATATATGTATTAGGTTGTCCCAAAAGTTCTTGCGCCGGATTTTCCGGAAAAAATCATAACTTCCTTTTCACTCGATGGATTTTCTTGAATTTAATTTGATCTGAAAGAGGAAACCTTTTCCTTTACAAATAATCCTTTGCTGTGAAGCGGCGTTAGAAAGTTCCAAAGCTAGAGGCAATTGAATGAAATCAGTCAAGATCGACATTTTTCGAGCTGGATCACGAAAAATTCTGGAAGTATTTTTATTTGATAGAGAAAATTTTGCACATTACAGTGGTGTCTTTTCCATGAATTAAAACGAAGTAGATCGAGAGTTAGAACCAAATAAATAGGATTTCTTCACTTTTGCAATTTTTGAGCATGCTCAAAAAAGCTTGAAAACGTCACAGAAAAGGCGAAAAAGTCATAAACATAGGTTTTGTGACCTTTCCTTTATAGCTGAGCGAAAATCGTGCCAACCGAGAGCAATTTCAGTTTTCGTGATTTATTCGGGTTTTCGGGTCTGCGTTTTTCACGAAAATGAAAATTGCTCCCAATTGGCACGATTTTCGCTCAGCTATAAAGGAAAGGCCACAAAACCTATGTCTATGACTTTTTCGCCTTTTCTGTGACGTTTTCAAGCTTTTTTGAGCATGCTCAAAAATTGCAAAAGTGAAGAAATTCTATTCATTTGCTTCTAACTCTCGATCTACTTCGTTTTAATTCATGAAAAAGACACCACTGTAATGTGCAAAATTTTCTCTATCAAATAAAAATACTTCCAGAATTTTTCGTGATCCAGCTTGAAAAATGTCGATTTTGACTAATTTTCTTCAATTGCTTTTAACTCTCGAACATACCAACGTTGATTCATGGCAAAGGCACTGCTATAAAGAAAAAGGTTTCCTCTTTATACAAAAATAATTTTGAGAAAAGTCGTTGAGAAAAAAGGAAGTTATGATTTTTTGAAAATCCGGCGCAAGAACTTTTGGGACAACCTGA